CACCGCCGTGGCCGTGGCCAGCGTCAACAACTACACCGGGGCCTTCCTGGGCACGGCCAGCGGAGCGCTCCTGAAGGCAAGTGGAGTGGCGCGGAGGGTGGCGGGGTCTCCCCTTCCAGCACCTCTGCTTTGCACAGAGGACAACTTCCCTTGTCACGTTTGCCTGAGCACCCACCTGCCTTTGGCACCGAAGGAATAATCAGATGCTGCCATAACCTACGCAGGGATCTGTGCTGCCTGGTGACTGGTGGCTGTTAATTACCGTTCGGTTTTGCTGTGTGAGCTGGCTGTTCTTGATGAACCCTATGCTGGATATGTTATTGCACAGCATTTAATTATTAACAGCTCTTCTGATAAGTTCTCCCTCTGAGCTGATGGCTTTTGAAGGCTCCATGTAGACAGGGGAATCACCAAGAGGTGCTTCATCACAGCTGAGTCCAAAGCAGGTGTGAATCCCTGCATTTGATGGAGTATCTGCTTTAAATAACGTGCCAGAGGCAGTGCAGGGCAGTGCAATACAATACCCTGGCTCCAGAGCCAAGATGCAAGGCCGAGGTTTCAGTAAGTTTAGCACTTGAGGTTGGCCAGAGGAAGTTTTGATTCCAGCCAGTCACAACAGTTTGGTGTACTCCCAGCATCAAAAGTCCATAGAGGAGAGGGGAAAAAAAGCCCTGGAGCAGAGACACGGCCGATACCTGCTTTATCTCAGCCTGAGGTGAGCGGTGTATGATGTGGAATATTGGCTCAAAATGCCTGGGCAGAAGAAAACCAATCCAGTCTTTTCTCTTGTGCCCAAGCCCTCCTGGCAGAAATGTGGGAGCGCTCACAAAGCAGCTCCCTGCTTTGATTTTTGCCTGCAGGGACAGGTACTTCAGGAGGGTGGAGGAAACCAGCCCCCAGTCCAGGTGCGCGGGGCTGGGGGGGCACATGCCACACGCAGCGCGGCCCCTTTTCACACGCTGTTCACAGCTCCGCTGTGTTATCATCGCTGAGAAAGCAGCCTTATCTGCTGCGCCTCCATTAGGGAGAGGCTCCTGGCTACCCTCGGCTGGGATAATTTGCTCAGATAGCTCTAATCTAATTCTACAACACAGCTGCATAACCAGAAGCCCTTTTACCTTCAGGGCTCCTTGTTATTTGGCACGGGATACAAGATAGTTTGTGCGAGTTATCATTCAGATTTGCTGCCTGAGAAAAGACAGCAAAGGGGCAGGAATAGTGCTCAACCAGCTCCTGCCAGAAGCAATTACGGCTGCCAGGGGTAAGTATGGGGAATTAATCAGATAGGCTGCAGACGGGCCTTTCGTGAGGGCCATTACCAGTGCCACGTCCAGCAGTCGTTAGAGCAAACCAGCACTTGGGAAGCGGTGCCAGAGCGAGGGGTGCCCGGGTGCAGTGCCCTCGAAGGAGGCGTTCTGGTGAGTCCACATGTGTCTAGGTCTGGAAATGTGGTGGGGTCACCCAGAGCTTCAGCCCGCTCTGCTCTTGCCAGCGCAGCACATGTCCACCTACCTCTGTCTGATGACCTCCTGTCAGGTGAGAGCTTCAGTCTTCAGCAAAATAGTCTTTTGAGCATCATGCGCACCCTAACCCTGGTCCACCAAGAGGACTGGTGGTCTGTGCTCCCCGGTGCTGCTGCCGTGGCTCCCCCTGTCCTGGGAAGGTGCCTGGCAGGGAAAGCACAGGATGAACGACCCCGAGAGGCAGAGGGACCCGGGGACGTGCATAGAGCCCGCCTCGGCAAGAAGTGAGAGAGGATGGTCGAAAGGCTGAAGTGAAGGGTCTTGGGACTCTGTTCGTGGATGTCTTGGTTGATCCCAGGGAAATGATTTAGCTTCTGTGTAGCCAGTTTTTAAAATGGATATATTGATAGTTCCCTTCTTTTTCTGCCTAGTAGCTTGCAGTGCTTGCATATGGCTCTTAGCAGAGGGAAGCCTTCTGCTTTGAGCTTGTGCTATCTTACTAGGACATGTTGGTGCTGCTCAAGTGTAAGAATTAATTAATCCTATGTTAATTAATTAATCCAGACTTTAGAGAGCAGAGGCACGCTTGGTCCTTACAATTATTGCCTTCCCTCGGTAGTAAGGAGGTAGGAATTTTCCTTGCTCCCTTTCTGTTTTACGCTGGAAAGTGACTGTCACACAAAATTGTGTAGCCCTATTGTTATTTCCTCTCAGCAATGCCACATTTAATTTGCTGAGTTTTCAAGTCAAATGCCAAGTCGCCCTGAGATCACAAAGGCAGGCTGGTGCTTTGCGGCCCCTTCCATCACTGCCAGCGCTTCAGCTGGTGACTCATGAGCCAAGGTAGGCTTCGACTCTCCTGCGGCAGGCGCCA